GTTTATTGAGACATTTAAATATGATATTAAATATTAAAGTCACAGATATAATATATGTAATAAATAATATTAAGAAAATGGCCACCACTGCCGTTTTATAAAAAGAAAATTTACTTATCTTCAAAATCTTTTGAAAAGGAAACATTTGTATATTTGTTATGAATAAACTCAAAAACTACTGCACTAACTAATTAACTACCTTCGAAAATTCTTCCACCCCTAGCCTTAAATAACATTGGGCACATTCAATATTGTCATAAAATATCATAAAGCTAAATATTTAACAATTTTAGTTCACGCCTACGCCTGAAATTCTTTGAAACGAGAATATGAATGGACGACAAATCAATATTTACACATTCTCATGAATGAACCGTCACACTAAATATGGTTCCTGAAGGTCATTTAAAGGTGTCGAGGTCAGCTGATACATTTGAAATGTTAAAGTGCGTTTTCACTGATTGTTTTTAATCAATAATTTTTCCCTTTAATGCTATAATTAGTTCTCTATTTGTGTACTGAAATTTTACGTTACATTTAGGTTCAAAAATAAGTGTCATTTCGAATTATGTGTCACCCACTTATAATTAAGTACTAAGTTATAAGTAAAAATGTGTGACAGTAAGTTATTTTATCAGTCGTTTAATTGATGGTTTTTCATACTTAAACTACACTAAGCCTCAGTGACCCTTAAACAACTGTTTTGCAGTTACCGTGGGTTTCTGATTAATTAATTTCCGGTTAAAACATATTGTTATCTCTGTTTTGTCAAAGATAAAGAAAGGGATGACGATATGTTTTATACAGGGCTTTGATGTCAGAAAGCAACTTATAGTCACTCTAAATTTGAATTTCAAACCTGTTAACTTTAGTGGAAGCGCACCTTAATCCCTTGTTGGCTGTTATTGTTTATTGTTCGTGGCTCATATTTACGTGTTCGGTGTACTGATTGCGTCAAACTACCCACGTGACCGTCTGTATGACCGATGTGTATAAACATCAAACACGTTAAAACAATTTAATTTTCAATGAGATATAATCAAGTTAAACGATAATTTGCAATGTTTATAAAGTTTTAGCATCAATAAATCAATTTTTTTATATCATTGTTGTTTACTTAGTAAACATTTTAAGGCAGAAATATTTTTAAACATATATGCACTAATAACTCTCGCTGCCTAGCTCTCTAGTCTCTTCCACTTCGCTCTGTCCTCAACATCTTCCTCTTAGACTTGAAACTTACTTATGTCTTTTACCACTACATCTGCCTCTGCGTCCAGGAAGACTATTTGGTGCAAAGCAAATAAGCCAACCATAATGCTTAAATAATATTGGATAATCAAGTGTTTTCTTTCTCTATCTCTTTTTTATTTAAAATTAGCTGTCACCCATTACTCCGTCCGCGCGGAATTAAAAAAATACTTAATAAGTAGCCCATGTGTTCTTCCAGACTATATTCTATTTGTGCCGAATTTCATAAAGATCCATTGTGATTTTCCGGAGTTATCTTCAAACCATCCATCTAAACCAGTGGTTCCCAAACTTATTTTGTCTACTGCCCACTTTGAGAATAAATATTTTTTTAGCACCCCCATATTAGAGTTTGAGCAATCTTTTAATTCACATTAGTTGATGTTCACAAGTTGTTGAGAGTCGAGAGCTCATGCAGTCGTTGTCTAAGAGGCCTCCTTGCTAAATAAAATTACAAATCATCCCCCAGGCCTCTACACAACGCCCCCATTTTCTTTCTGGGTCTCTTACCCTTGAGACCTGCAGCGCCCACAAGGGGGCGTTATCGCCCACTTTGGGAAAGACTGATCTAAACCTTCGCATTTATAATATTAGTAAGATTCCAACTAGAATGTAGAACCGCAATTAGTCGTCGCGTCATAATGATTGGTGGTGTACTACAAGATGCAACAAAAACTGTATCAATATGTCATACATCAATTATGATACCACACCACCCGTTATATCATAATAAAACAATGTCGCTGCACAACCATACTTCCGGACATTACATAAAACGACCGGGTAAGGAATGCGCAACAAGTTTTTCTCGACGCATACAAACGTCATAATTCAACGTTTCTTAGGAGTGCACTAATTGAAAGCAGTAGCCGTACAAGGAAGCGGCAGTTACGTTTTTGCCGGGTACCATTACACGTAACTGTAAGTGAGGGATCGACGATTGTCGATTGCCGCTTCACCTCACTGCTTATGTGTTCGGTTTTGATTTAATTTTGCTGCTAAATTAGAATAAAAATAAAAAAAAACAAACGAAAAAATAACAAAGTACATTATACTTTTTGTGTGTAGAAATCGTCGTTACAAAACAAGGATTTGCACATTTTATCTATGTGTATATAAATAAACTTATATTTGTACACATGAAGTTTTGGCGTTGCTGATAACAAAAAAACATTTTTTTATTTTTTGTGTCTGTCTTCTACATGTCTGTACGTGAGGCCGCGTTTGTTCCGGGTAATCTCCGGAACGGCAGAATCGATTTTGACATGACTTGGACGGGAAGGTGCTACTGCAAACTGGTATATTAAATATTATTTTTAATTCTGCACTGACGAAATCGCGGGTGACCTCTTGTACTCAAATATGGATATAGTTTTTCATACAACTAGAAGTTTCTTGAGCGTCGGTGGCTCAGGGGTCAAGCACTTGACTTGCAATCTGCAGGTCCTGGGTTCGAATCCCGCCATGTACCAATGTGTTTTTCGTTTTCCGATTTACATATGTACATTTATCCGACGTTCTTACGGTGAAGGAAAACATCGTGATCTGAGAAGAAATTCAAAGATATGTGTGAAGTCAACCAACCCGCACTTGGCCAGCGTGGTTGACTATGGCCTAGTCATCCTTGATTTAGGCTAGGCTCCGAGCACCTCGGTGGAGACGTATAGTGAGCTGATGATGATGATGATGAGAAGTTTTTATGACAATATTAACTAAGTTACGAGCAAGTAAGTTGATAACCAAAGATGACATACTTACCCGTATGCGTAACTTGCATTTATTAGTTATACACAAACGTGGCTGTTATCTAAACGAATCTTCAACTCGGTTGTGTAATTCATTTATTTAGAATGCAAATGAATTGCGAACTATTCAGTACTTTCTCCAAAAGGCCTAATTTCTCTTTTTATCGTAACATACGCTACTTAGGAAGCGCTTTTAGTCATGCTCTCGCTGTCAATGACCTAGGCAATTTGTAATACCTATATTATGTTGCGCACGATTTTTAAATATTTATTTAAAGTAGGAAATTAGTGTTTAATTATACTTCATACTCATACTATACATGCGAATGTTTGGATGGATGGGTGCATATATGTTTGAAGGTATCTTCAGAACGACTGAACGGATCTCGATAAAATTTGGCATACATGTAGAATTCGTCTGGAAGAACACATAGGTTACTTATTATATTTTTAATCCCGCGCGAACGGAGTCGCGGGCGACAGCTAGTTTGTTTTATAAAAAACACTTTTTCATTTTTATAAACACTAAAGGCCGTACTTAGATATGATTACAGATGAGTTAAATCTTTTCTTAAAGTTGATTTATAATAATAAAGAGTGGTTATTAGTGTTCTCTAAAGTGACCACTTAAAGATACCTAAGTGCGGCATTTAAAAGATTGCAATTAATCCTACGATCCTTGACTTATTTTGACATTCAAATTAAAGCTAAATTAGATCTTTTAACCATCACAATTAGTATTATAGTTGTCTGACAGATAATTGGATCCTTTCCCAATGCAACTGTCACCGGTACCGAATGACGTTCAAGGCGAGTCGGTCCATCGCCCACGTTCTCTTAGCCTGTGGGCAGGTTGTGTCACAAAAATGGTTTTGGTAATAAGGACATTTAAGTAAGAGTCTAAATTAAAAAAAATAATGCAGCAAAGAATATCATTCACCTAATTATAAATTAAAATATAATCTTACTAAATAACTAACCACTACAAAATAAATGAATTAATGAATACTATATTAAATAAACTATATACTAAAACTAAACCAAACCAAAAAAAAAACTAAATAATATAAAAAATCGACATCAAATCGCTGCGGTCGCACGGTAGGGTTAACAAGAGGACGGCGGCATTTCCCCGTTGGATGACTAAAAATAATATTTAATTCAAAGACTTCGATGAGTTTAGAAATGATATCTTTTTTGAAACAATAGTTTTGTAAAGATTAGTTTAAAGCTTCTCGAATACAAAGTTTTAGATAAAATTATGAATTATTTATAAATATGTTTCATATCAAACGAACAAATATCTCCAAACTCGTGTGATTCTGTGATAATATTGGACAGAAAACTGACAATATATTTACAAGACTACAAACACATTACATATTTAATTAGGGGCATCTTTTGGGTTCCCATCTTAGCGAATAAAAACTTATGAGTCACCTTATCGTTACGTATCCAACCGGATGGTAATATCAAGTTACGCAGCAGGTACTTTCAGCGGTGACGTCAGACTTAAGTGAAGCTGGTTTGTGCTATGAATAAGATGTTTTAAAGGAACTAATACACAGAGATTTCTCTTTCTGTGCGTCCCCTCCTCCGTCAAATCCACGTCTCCTTCAGGGTTGGAAGGACGACAGACACACATCGAATTCCTTCAACTTCACACCCTTCTTCTTTATGGTCGTGGTATTACTGGCTTCAATTGAAAAAAAATCAAAAAGTTTTTTATTTTATTTTAATGATTAAGTGTAAAGCATATAATTTTAACACACTGATCACAAATTCGCCATAAAACTTTTCCCACTAGATCGATGTAATAATATGAAAATATACAAAAACAAATGATAAACTCGACACGAGCAAACGTGGTAACGTATCACAGACTAATAAAATACGTAGCAGTATCACAGCGAATTGAGATAATGACGTGACAATTCTTAAGTATATCCGATAAGGTATATGTCAACAATTCCACACGGCACACGACAACGCGCACGGCACGCTACTCTATTTTACACTCGGCGTATCCATTGCGCACGACACGAGGGCATTATCATAATATAAAGGCAGATAGTCTAAATACGCATCATTACAAAGCCCTCAAGTGAGAGTAAACTTTGTGTCTTTAAGATTAGAAGAGAATGTAAGTTTTAATTTTGTTAATTGTTATCACCACTGCTAGAGCCCTCTTCTAAAGATCGTATACTTCAATAACGTTTCTATACCTGAAAGGACTTGTCAGTAGCATTGCTTAGACCACTGAAAGCCTTTGTGACATACTAGCTGTCGCCTCCGACTCCGTCAGCGCGGATTATAAAATGCATAATTAGTGCCTATGTGTTCTTCCAGACTATATTCTACATCTGTGTCGAATTTCATCTTGTTCTGTTCAGTCGTTTTGGAGATATACCTTTAAATAATCCATCCATCTAAACATTCGCATTTATAATATTAATAATAATAACATAGAGATAGCTGAGTCGATGTCAATCTATTAACGTTGCCTCATAAACTAAATGAATTCTAATTAGTTACATCTCGATACATAAAGACAATCTAATAAAAGTTTCATATGTATATTTTTAGATTGAAACTTCAAAATGCTGTGCTCCAAGGTCTCAGGAAGCAAGAACCAATGTTGCCAAATGAAATGCGATAAAAATGGATGTGTTTGTATACAAACTGAAGGACAGTCATATGTTTGGTTATGTATAGATGACAAGAAGAATATTATAAAATGTGAGGAAAGGAAACCTGAGTGCAAATATATTTCTACTGAAGGAAAATCATGTATTTGCGTTTGTGTTGGAAATGATGAAGATATTAAAGTTTGCGACGACTGTCAATGTATTCCAGAAGAATAATCCAAGAGAGTTACAACCAACTACTAAACTGTTCCATTAATATCTTTTTGGAGTCAGGTAGGTTAGACAATATGCATTCGTTTCGAAGCGATTCCATAGCTAACTTCAAAAATGTATGGAACTGACGCACGACAGTCACGTGACTTATCGAAATCGCCAGTTCCATAAATTTTTGATATTTGTTACAGTAACGCTTCGGATGCACTTTGTCTAACCCTCCAAAACCAAAATGTACATTATGTCTATCTTTATTCTTTTATGTCAAATAATATAAATGTCAAAAATATAAACACAAATATAGATAACCATTATCATTTTTTAAAAAATAAACGAGGGAAATATGGTCATTTAAATTTTCTTTCAATTTATTTCCTCCTTATCCTTTTTAAGCTACAGAATTTTTGTTTATTAAATGTTTTCATATTTCTAAAGTGTCTCAATTAAATACACACATCCATAAATTGAAACTTCTTCAAAATATTGTGCAGCAAGATACCAAAAAAAGCAACCACTTTTTTAAATGAAATGCTATAAAAACCGATATATTTATATACAAACTGATGAACAGTCCAGTGATTGGTTAAGTCTAGATGACAAGAACAATATTATGAAGTGTGACGACTATTGTTCCCGTATTGACAGCATCAAACGTCAGAATAATAAATCTAATAACATTCTCACGGCAGGAAAATATAGTATTTACGTTCGTGTAGACGATAATGAAGAAATCAAATTATGCGGCGATAGCAAGACTATTTCGAAAGAAAAATCCGATAAAGAAATCAACAAAAAAAAGTGCGCCAACAGAGGATATGTAAGTCTATCTAGAAATAAAACAATTGTGTACATGTGTGATGCAAATGATAAAGATAGTGGTAAATCTAGTGATGAGTGCGATTGCGACGAAAGTAGTTCCAGTCAGGGAAGTTCCAGTTGCAATTGTGTTTGCATTCCCTGCGATGGTGAAGAAAATCTTTGCATTGGTATAAATGTGAAGGGAAAAATTGAGGTTTGTGATGATTGTTCCTGCGGTCAAGAGGACAAACCTAAAACGTGTGACAATAAAAAATGTGACAAAAAAAATTGCGTTTGTATTCAAACACGTGGCAAAGCATTCGTCTGCGTTGGTATTGATGATAAAGGTACTATAATGTGTTACAGTGATTGTACTTGCGAAAATGATTGCAAACAGGGATCTTCCAAATCTAAATCTGTTTTTGTTCCCAGTGGTGCATCATGTATATGTGTTTGTCTTGACGATAATAGAAAAGTTACTCCCTGCTTTGATTGCAGTTGTAAAGAGGAGGAAAATAAAGAGCAGAATTGTGAAGGCTGCAGTTGTATCCATGAAGAAAGTTTACCTGTTTTATTGTTTACGGATGATACGTCTAATGAAGTGAAAAAGGCAATCTTAGAAGATAAATCTACTAATACTTCTTGTGCTGACTGTCTGTGTGATATTCCTAGATGCACCAGTTACAAATGCATTTGTCCCCCCGATACAAATACTGTCACTATTGTCAAAAAGTTTGCAGATATTGGCGATTCTCATGACTGCAACTGTCCCGAACCTAAGGGTACAAATAAATCTAAATGCTGCAAAAGAAAATAGCTATTCAGCTATATGAAGAACTTTGTTAATGTGTTTTTAATTATTTTTGTTTTAAAAATATTTTTATAACATTTTTCCAATGGTGTTTTTGGAACAATTATATTGTGGAAAAGTATTTGTTTTCATTCTTTATTGGTTTTAAATACCTTGTCTTAAGAGCGTCGGTGGCTCAGGGCACTTGACTTGCAATCTGTAGGTCCTGGGTTCGAATCACGCCATATACCAGTGTGTTTTTCGTTTTCCGATTTACATATGTACATTTATCCGACGTTCTTACGGTGAAGGAAAACATCGCGATGCAACCTACACATATCAGAGAAGACATTCAAAGATATGTGTGAAAATCAACCCGCACTTTGCCAGCGTGGTCGACTATTCCTAATCACCCTTAACTTAGTGTAGGTTCTGAGCCCCTCGGTGGGGACGTACAGTGAGCTGATGATGATGACCTCGTCATTACTTATATTTATGGCAAAAAAGGATTTAAACAAAATGAAAACTTCTTAAAATATTAATAATTATTTTTAACAGTTACGTTTATATCGATTACGCTTCTTCTCTTCTGTGAGACCACACCCGATGATATCGTCGTTATGACTTGCATTCAAACGCATTTGTAAAATCATCTCATTTCTCATGCAGCATAGTACATGACAGGTTGAACATGACTTGTCATTGTGACAGATAGGTCAACTACTTGGGTGGTAGTTTTGATGAGTACCGGTTTTAATTAGCTTGTTGTATACGTTTTGAATAACTTAACTAACTTCACTTATTTATCGGGTTGTCAGATTTGAACAAATCTAAAATATGTATTAGAAAATGTATACGTTTTTTTTAATAATTACATATTCAATTAATTTTATTGATAATATCATATGTTCTTTAAATCAAAGCGCAATTTAATGACTCATATCCACGAACAATGTATTAAAATAAATTAAATAGCTATTTCGTGTACTTTCTCTGTATTATATCAGTTTAATGTTAGTCGTGAAGTAGTCATAAAATTAACCGTCATAGACCGTCTGTAGTAGAAGACGTTAATTTCCTACCCACTTCGACGACATGGGCTATATTATAGTTCTTATGGTATGCTTTTCTTATGTTTATTAAGTGGGAAGGGAATTTAATTCTTTGACTGCAAACCTACTTAGGACCATCTAATTCAAACGGTCACGGTCCGAATGGCAACTGAGCCAGAGATCGCGATTACCTCAAACGATTGTACGCAAAGCAACAAGAGGATGTTCACTGTACTTTGTATAATGATGATAAATCATCAGTGGATTTGACGGAGGAGGGGACGAATAAGAAGGGGAAATATTCCCTTTCAATCGTCACCTTCCTCGTCTGGCTATGGTCAGCGGTCGGTTCGCATTTTGTTAAATCAGGTTGCTTGCTGGTTTGCCGTGTTATAATAAAAAAACGGGTTAACAATATGGACGAGAGTCGCAGTAGTATTTGATCTCTAAATGTGTTCTGCGCAGCGACTTGCGCATTTTAGGTGTAGCGGGGCACAGCGGGATGCGGGGCAAGAATACTACGCATCTCTCCAATGACCTTGGGCCGCCAAAAAATTTGAAAAGACTTGTGCTTTATATCTTTTTCACTATGCTGTTTAGTGTGCTAATGCGAGAAATGTTTACGCAATTTATGAATACGATACTACAAAGTCTCAAACGCTATCGAAATACTAAATTGATATTTCTCAATTAATTTCTTTTGCACAATTTACCTTGTTAAAATAACACGCTTAACACATTCCGGATTGTTTAGTTCCCGCGCTTAATTCTAGTTTACGCCGCCATTAAACGTTTAACGATGTCATATCTAGTATTATGATTAAACGATCGGTTTTAACTGACGTTGTATCGATTAATAATAAATAATAATTGGATCAATCGATTATCGTGTTCGTTACTTTGTTTATTGACAAGAATTGTTGCTTTTTAACTGTTATAATGGTGATTTCTTTGTATAGATCTACAAGAATATTTGAAATGGTGGGCATAAGTCAAACTAAATTATGACTACTCACTAGCGCCCTCCTGTCAACGTCAAATCTCACAATATCCTATTTGAACGGTAGCTGTGATGCCCTGGTTGTTGACTATAATTCTGACAATTCATAGTTCATAGTAGTTACGTGTTTAGAAGCTCAGATATTGATAAATTGAAGTTTAAATATTGAAAAAACTTACAAAGTTGTTTTCCCTTAATGTATTCGTCAGTATTACCTGTAACAATATATAAATCGTTAATAAATATCAGTATTATTTCTCTTATCTTTAGACGAGATTATTTGAAAACTTAAAGATGAAACAAAGACAGACCGTTTATAAAGTGATAGCAAAATAAAGTAGACTAAAACTGGACCGTGTTCAAGCTAAGGCTGTATAGTCTTTGTTCATGATATTTATAATAATATCAGAACTCAAAACACCGATCCCATACAAGAAAATAATAACATAATCTCCGTACCACATCCAGTCACGGCACAAGGATGTCGAAAACAGACATTTGTGGGCACGACATCGCTATGTATCTTGTATTGGAATTACCGCACAACGTAATAACTGAAACCACTATAAAGCTGTCAATCGCACCCCAGTCATCACCCGCATGTAGCGACGCTTGGGATCGTCCGTTACTTGGTGACATGCTGCGGCGCAAGTTACAAGACATTATACTATTTTAAATGCGAAAGTTTACATAGATGGATGGATGTTTGTTAGAACGTACCTCCAGAATGACTGCATGGATATAAAATTTGGCATAGATGTAGAACATAGTCTGGAAGATGAACATAGGATACTTAATGTTATTTCCCCTGCGCGGACGGAGTCGCAGCCAACAGCTAATAGGATACAACTTTGTTATTTACAAGAATTGGTTTGCATGTAGTCCTTGTTACTTATGTAACAGTTTATTAATAAGTATAGAATTCATATTATTAACAACAAATGCTTAATTACTTTAAAGCCAAAGATCGATACTGTTAAACCTGGCCCTCTAAAACTGAAAGAACCTAAATGCTTTCTGGAATAATAGCTTTCATAAAAACAATACTTAGCCTACTTCTATTTTACGTCGTCGTATAATTAGGTGTATTGCGCATCTATTTTATGAGTAGTAATTTCTCTAAATTTTCCGCTATCGCTTATGCCTCAAACCATAGCTATCAAGCAAAGATTGGTTCACTTAGTATAACAGTCTGAATGTAAGTTAAACAAATTGTTGCAACACATGCCACGAGATTAACATCGATACCCGTTATTTGGTAACCATTACGCATCGGAGATTCATAATGGAGATTTTAATGCGTGAAGTTATTCGCACTAATGGATGTAGTAATAAAGATGAACCTAGTTGTAGGTAAAAGGTAAAGATTGGTGAAATATAGCTTTACATATAGTAGTAAAGACCTGATGGCCTTTTTTCATATCGTAAGGTGGCAAACGAGCGAGCGGCCACCTGAAATCGCTGATATAGCGAAGTGACCGTTGCCCATAAACATACGTAATTGCATATGCGTTGCCTGACTTTAATCGACGTTGGAGAGGATGCACAGAAAGAAAATATTTTCCCTTCCCATGCATCCTCTCATCCGGAAAGTCCACTTACACTTCCCATCCTTTCCTTATAAGAAAGACGTTGAGCAGGGAAAGAGTAGGTCTAGCACGAATATTTACGACACGCGTTTTCATTAAGTCATCGAGAAGATATGTCAAATTGAGTATGAGATTTGTCGATGTACTTTATGCCCGCTTCATCATATTCTTTCAACCTTTTTGTTTAACACATCAAAAGAAAAATATATAAAATAAAGAAAAATATGTTTGACAAATAAGATATGTACATAATTAACACCAGATGTGTATTTTTATATTAATCTTAAGCAATCGAATTAAGATATAAATTATCTTATTAACATAAAGTAGCTTAACATATAAATGAGTATTTTTTTCTAGTTCAAGGTCACAGGAGATTTAGCAGTTTTTTCCCATACTTAAACATAACCTACATTTCTATAAACAATATGAATACATTTCTCTATCCCTTTCTTTTTCTTTAAATAGATAAATATAGCAATATCTTCTTTTGTAGTTAGGAGAGTGGAAACTTACCACAGAGTAAACGACATCTATAGAAGTACTAGCTATGGCCCGTAACTCCATCGCGCGGAATTAAAAAAAAAATAAAAAATAAATAGCCTATGTTCTTACGGACTATGTTCTACATCTATGCCAAATATCAGCGAGATCTGCTGAGCCATTTTGGAGATACCTTCAAACGAACATCCATCTAAACTTTCGTATTTATATTATTTGTAAGTTACAGGTGAGAGTAGCTGCGCCAGGTCTGTGCCAATTGGAAATCCGTTGTCATTGTCTACAGTTCTTGGATTAAAGGCGTGAGTTAATTATTCTTTATAAAACTTTTTTTTGAATGTTGTTGAATGTGAAAGTGTAGTATAAAATATGTTTTTCACGTTGAATAAGTTTAAATCACATGTAATACTCCGTCGTTCAGAACTGGTCTTGTAGGTCAAACGATGTGTCGTTTACATCAAAAAATGTCCTTCAAAACCGGTCCGCGCTCGCGTCTTGAAGAGATTTACTTGAAGATTAACAAAAGTAACCAATAATTTAAATTCTGTAGATATGCCTTTATAGCGTTATATTTATCAAGATAAAAAGGTTTTTTTTTGTTTTATACGAAAGTCAAATTATTTTTCAGTGTTTTTATTCAGATAATAATCTAGTACTTTAAAGAAGGAAAGAAAAGGAAAGAAAAGAAAAGAAGAAAGAAAAGAGAGAAAGGAACTTCCACATTTTTTTTCTCTCATTTTTTCGCTACATACGTAAACTTAAAGCTAAACCATGGATTATTTTCTATTGTTCATCACAAATAATTTCACGAGTACATTACTGCTCTAATAAATGTAAATTAACGCATCAAACAATTAAAAGAAGCAGTGAACAGTAAAATCGTAAACCTTCGGATGCCGGCACGTAGTTTAATAATAAACGGCCTACGCGTGTTCAACCTCGGTCGTTGCATACTTCATATATTTCTTTTATATTATAAGGTGGTA